TATGTGAAAATTTAGATTTTATTTTATTAAACTTGAATTAAAATCGATATTTTTGAAATATTCGTTTTTTGATAATTTATATCCAATATCTTTTTATAAATTGCAATTAATAGAAATTTAATGAATGATTTTTAAAGATTCTGAATATATATCATAAAATATCGGAATTTAATTTTTTCATATAAAAATATTAGACATAGATTTATTATTAAGAAAAAAGGATATTTAAAATTTAATTTTGATATTTTTCAAGCACAAAATGATCGATCAAAATTGTTTTTAACAATATGAACTTTCACGCACATTTTAAAGATTACGCTTTCATTAATTGATTAACGCCCATAACGCTAATACTACATATTATGATTTTATCTATCTAATGGATCTTAGAAAATTCGAAATAACCAGAAGTAAGTGTTCCATGTCTGATCAAAATTCTTCACTGATCGCGTCAGCTCGAGCATAAGTAATTGCACTTAAAGTGCCATCTAGCGATGTATTCAATTTGCATTCAAATATTTATACAATTTTTATGTACATTAAAAAATCTTTAAAATCTTTAAAAATCTTTAATGAAATGAAAATTGAAAGTTATATTTTAATTAGATTTTCTTCGTAACAATTTTCTAAAATATGTCATAACAAAGAATAATATATTTATATTACATATAAATATATAAATATAAATATATGAATTATATATCATTATATAAATATATAATAATATATAAATATTTCAAATATTTAAGTTGATATAATAAATTTTGAAAGAAATATTACTTAAAAATTTTTTCTATTCATGTTTAATGAATATGACAATTATGACAATGTTATTTACCAGTTAGAAATTTAAGACTTTCACGATCTAGCATCACAGAATTATTGTTAATTGTTAAGATATCTTAGATATCTTAATTGTGCTCTTTTAAAACAAAAATACCAATATTTTAACATTACAATTCACTCCATCAAAGATCGAAGAATACACTGAGAAGTTCAGCAGTTTGTGGTAGAACAGCAAACAGTCGGGAGCAATGTTCGGGTAACATCGGACAAGATCGGGTAACAATGTAGTAGGCCCAATAGGGCTTAAAGTTTCAAGCCCCCACTCCGTTAATTTCGCTGTCCGTTTTGCCTCAGTTTTGCCCTCAGCACTGTTCAACCGCGCAATCGCGAGCGTTCGTGATCAAAAAGTCATTCAACTTTGAATTTCTATTTTCTTTTCTATTTTTTTATACGATTTTATAATTATTTATAACAAATAATACGAAAACTCGACACTTATACTTTTACAGCTGTTCTCATTCCCATAATTTTTTTCTTTGCCAAAAAAGAAGGATAACTTCGTCCTTTAACCTCAATTTCAACTAAACATGCATATAATTCGAATTTATCATTACTTTTACGAATGTTTCCTATGAGTTTATTTCGTATAAAAAAAAAAGTCTCTAAGTTCTTTCTATATTTCTATTTCAATTTTTTTTTCAAATTTTCAGGTTTTAATTTTTCCTTGCAAACGTTAGTCATGATTGATTTAACTCCATCCATAACTGCAACGCTGTTAAATATTCGACAACGATGTGCCATACGCCACGTGCCCGCAACACGCTCCTGCAATTAGGCCTAGGAATCGCTATTGTGCCGGAGCTTGACCCTCTCAAATAGAATCTCGACAATGGGAATTCGAGCAATTTGCCAAGAGGAACTGGCCCAATTGTGCCGCGATCATGAAATCGGACAAACTTTGCCAATGAGATTCTCCAAATTGACGTTCAGTTCCATTTCGCTTTGTTAATGAAGTTAAACGAACGTCCGTTTTATTCCGTTTCGATGTTGAATCCTTGCGGATGATCGATCATGCTCGATGCTTACGAATTAATCAGAAGAGAGTTGTTTAATATGCAGCAAGCGTTTAATGAAGTAAACAAGGAGCCATAAATGTAAGAGAAATATAAATGACACAATTTTTTAATCGTATCATATTTTGCATGTGCCATGAATAATTTAGAGAATTTAGAGGCAATTAATATAAGATTTTAATTTATGATTTTATCGATGAATTAGGATTGACTATTTTATCTGGCATTTTCACCTCAGACTACTTTCATTTAATAAAAATAATCATTTTTTTTTTTTAAATATATAAGATTTTTTTTAATATATAAGATTATACATATTAATAATATACTCTATATTGATATTTTAAGAAAAGCGATGGATGAACCTTGGTGAAGGAATTTCGTGTAGCAAATCAAATTTGTGAAATTTTTCTTTGGAAAGAAAGAACATTCACGAAACAAGTAAGCAATTTATTCCGATCTCCGTCCCTGGAGCAACAAGAAGCAGAGCATGACAGCGCCACGAAGAAAGACTGGACACAGTTTGTTGGCATCAGGTTATAAAGAATACGAGTCATTACGAGATTCGTCTTTTCCAGTGCAAAATTCTTTGCGAGACGGTATTCACCTTACTTTCTCGAATGATCAGATATACATCTTTTATCTATTGTTCGACAATCATCAGGAATATCGAGATCTCAAAACAGAAATAGATAGAAAAATTGTTTAATGTAATTGACGATACTGTTCTCCATAAGTAAGATAAAATGCAAAAAAATAATAATTTAAACATCATTAGAGTTTTGACAACAATTAAAAAATACTTCTTGCGTTTTATATTAGATTTCAATTTTTTAAAAATATTGCTAATACTTTAAAAAAACAGAAAAATGATAAATCATTTTTAGATTAAAATATATATAAATAAAATTTAATTTCCAATGATTACAATTACTATTTTTATTATTGGAAATTATGTAGAGAAAATAAATAATTATTTAATAATAATTGAACTATACCAATGAAATATATTATTATTGTAAATAATAATTGTTAATAATTCTTCTAGACAAAAGATATTAGAAACACGATATATATGTGTTGATTCTATGACGAAAGATTGTTTAGGAATAGAAACTGCGTATCCTCCATAAAACAGTTTCACATTTAATCCGACCTGAATATTCAAGAATTTCAAGAAGAATTCATGCTTCTTAAAACGAGAAGTAAGAGTAAACACATCGAATAACATTCTCTCTGATTTATTATTAACATAATTTTCAAGTAAATAATAAAAGCGTGACTTTTATGCAAATAAAATATTTGAACATTGCATTAAAAAAAATTCTCCATACAATCCCTAAAATCGTTTATGATTTGATATAAATTCATTACATAATTAATTACTTTCATTCATTACATTATCATAATACGTGTCATTAAAGATTAATTAATAACTGATTGTGAAACCAATGAAAGACATTATTGAATGGAACTCAATTCATTCAGATAAATATACAGCGATAAGAGACATAAAAAGATTAAAGAAATTTTATATTATTGCATTGTAATAAATAACTATATATATATATATCTTATATATTCTAATTAATATATCGATATTCGAGTAAATCTAATCGAATTAATAAGGACTTAACGTGCCCCGATAATTTTGCATGGATCTGTTTCATCTACGACTCTATAATTATTCGCTTCGATTGTTCTATTCGTGATACGGAAATTTTCTCTGTGTCACGGCAACGGATCAACCAAATTAATGGAACATAACTAAAAATGCTTCTCCAATTCAGAAATCATCATTTTCTCTTGATTCTCTTTTTAATTTGGCGAGATAATTGTAATTATAATTTGTAATTTGTAATTTGTATAATTTGTAATTTTATATAAAATAAAATTTGTTCTTTGAACAAATAGTAAATATGATTAAATACTTTATTATTTAATAATAATTAATAATATTCATTATTATGAATATTAAGTTACTCATTTAAATTAACTTCTCTTGGGATGCATCAATATCAAAAATCTTGTAAAATAACTTTCAAACTTAATATAATTCTAATATAATCTTTTTGGATATTTGAAAACAAAGTGAATAGACAAAATGTTCTTTTATTAAAGTTAAAACTTCTTGAAAAGAAAAGTATTTTGATGACATTAATGTATTAATAATAATATAATGATTGTCTTATCATGATGTCATTCCACAAAATCATTTCAAGAATAAGAAAATAAATTATTTTGAAGAACGTGTCAGCATCTTACATAGCTTTTCAAGAGGAATATATTCTAAAATGACATTCAGCAATGAACTATTTAATTTCATTTTTAAAAATATCTGGATAAACTTCTTATAAAATGAATTATTTCATTTATTCTTTGAATAAGAAGAATTTTTTCTATAAATGTTGAAAAATATTTTTCAAAATATTCAATATTTATTCATACTATCATTAATTGTATGTCATATAAAAAGTGAAAAACATTTAAAACATCATAAATATCATTATAATTAAACACAGAGTCGTTAAATATAGTAATAAGTAACTTCTGCACAATAAAATGAACGCGGGAAAAATAATTTTCTGCAATGTTTCCTTTTTGAGGAACCCAGGAATTTGAATATTTGCCAAGTACACGTGTACTCGAGTACAGTTTCGAACACTTGAGGAGTATGCTTGAAGCAAGGGGAAAACATACACCGTAGACAAAGTGAAGAAGTATCTCCCTCATTTTATAACCTCAAAAACTCGAGGATATCTGAAAGTCGGCAAATATTCAATTTCAATTTTCACGAAGCTAAATTTTTTCTTTCTTGTGAAATCATTTTTTTCTTTTTTTGCGATACAAATGTATATTACGAAAATATGAATCCTTTTCGAATCTTCTTTTAATTTGTCAATATAATTTAAAATTAGATCGTTCAACATCAACAAATAAATTTATTTCTTATTTTATTTCATAAATAATTATTCTTTTTATTTATTTATTATTTTCATAATAATAAAAGATTCCTAATTTTATTTTTACATTATAAATAATTTCTAATCTGTCAAGTAGCTTTCGAAATGAAATCTAATATCAAGCTAAATACATGCATATTTTTCTAATTACAAAAAAACGATATAATTATATACTTACTTGGATTTCGTTGTATTTCATGATAGAGAATAGTTAATATTTCCTTAGGATTCAAGTAATCTGTTAATCCATCGGTGGCAAGAACTAAAAAATCCTCTGTTCCGTCTAAAGGAACAGATTTAACTTCTGGTTCACCTGTTACGAATGGCTTATATCGAACATCACCTGAAATCAAGTAAAAATATATCAAATTATTACAAAAATTATAAAAATTGTAAAAAATAATTTTTATCCTAGTATAGAATGATTTTTCTAATTACAAAAATGAAAACGATACCAATTAGATAAAAATCATTTGAATATTTAGATATTTCAAACCGATTAAACATTCAACAATATTGTATTTCGATTGTTTTTTATTAAGTTCGATAAAATTAGTTAAAAAACATTTGATTATTGGATCTAAAATTTCATGTTTATTTAATTTAACTGTAAAGAATTTTCATTCATGGTTATAGTAAATCGATGAAAAAATCACGTAAATTTATAATAACCGGAAGCATCTGTATTACAGTGGTACCATTATTTAAATTAGCTACGCCATTCATTAAAGTTAATTGCAACCTAGTTGAATACTGATACTCCCCATGTTTTACCGTCGCGTGTTTTTCAAATATAAAAAAAACATTACGTGTAATAAATAACTGTAATAGTTAATTCCATAAAATTACACGTCACGGGATATGAAATTCTTTTTCTTTTTCTCCATGTATTCTTTTATTTTGTCTAAACTCAATTGAAAAATTTCTCAGATATCATAAATTTAATTCGAATCATAATTATATTAAAAATTTTTAAAGAAATTGATAAACATTATTTCATATTATATTCTAATATAAGAATATAAACTGCATCATTTATGATATAAACTATCTAATTATGTACTGCTTTAAATATAAATTACAACACAACAAAATTTTACATTATGTTATTTGTAAAAAAAATCATAATATAATCATAATATAATCATAATAAATTGTTCAATCGCGTACTTTACTTAAATTTAACATTAGAAAAAAAAAGATTATATTTTGTTTCATCGATATTATAATTAACATTGCATATTTTATGATTTTAAAAAACTATCAAATCAAAATAATTCAGAGAAAGAGATTCAATAAATTAATATTATGTTAAACAAATACAAATCATTTGAAAATTATTATTTTTTAATAATTGCGCAATGTTTTTTCTTTTTCAATTAATTTCAAATATATAAATTATTTACTTTTATAATCAACTTATTAAAAATTTTTATCATTAGAACTATTCTATTAAACTACTATGAATATTTGAAATATAATAATTTGGAATTTACATATTATTTATAAATTAAGATAAAAATAAATACTTGCAAAAAAATAGAAATTATTGAGACATCTGGTAGCAGTCTTTGATACTATGATATACTTATATAGGAATTAGAAAGATTTGATATATATTCCTATTTTAGATGTTCGAAAATACCATAAATTTAACTCAAACATATTATATAACAATTATAAAAAATTTTACAAGATTTAACATAAGTTTGATTATTTTCATTAACAAAATAAAAGCAAAAAAAAATATTAAGCAAATGGTTTCTGATATTACTTGTTTGGATGTAATTAATATTTCACAAATATTTACGATCGATAAAAGATTCATAAATAAAATATAATTCTATGATAAATATCACTTATCGAAATTTTATGACGTCGAAGCAAAATTCCTGCAGAGGACAAGCGTTCGAAACACGCGTCTTCTCGCGATGCATAAACGGTTTAATGGGCTGTTAATTATTCCGGGCATGCAATTGTAGAAGCCACCCAGTAAAGCGTCCATTGCTCGAAGCATGGTTGCACGTACTATTGTGTCAGCGGTCAAACGGAACCAACAGGATACCCGACACGCGTCCAGAATTTTTTCTTTCCTTTTCTTCGTGGTACCTAAGCCATAGTTGGCCAGCTGTTAGTATACGCAGATTCTTCCTATTTGGTTTCTACGTGAAACACGTGACTTTTATCGGATTATCTCGTAAAGATGATCAAGATTTAGTTGATGAAGATTCAAATTATCGTATGTACAATAGATTGTTACAATATGTGATTGTTTATAAAAAGAAACTTAAATATTTAAATAATTATAATTAAGAAACTCAACAAGGGCTCGATACAAAGAGGGCACCACGTGTCTCGTCTATATATTTTTGATTTTTTGTATCATAATATGATAAATTAGTATAACGTGATAATATTAGTTTTGAAATTATTTGTTTCCTATTTTAAAAAATTGCAAAAATTCTAAATTATTATTATTAGCATTATTATTAACATTAAATTATTATAATTAGCATTATATGATGAACAAAGGAGTCGAATTATAAACTATTATTTATATTTATATATAATCATTTATATTATTAATTATGTATTTATTGTTATTAATTATGTATTTATCAATTTCTAACCATCAACAAGTATTTATTTCTTTTATCTTTATTTTTTGTAACTTTTATGCAAATTATTTTCATCTAATTTGTATTTAAATTAAGTTTTAATATATATCACGCAAAATTTTTAAATAAAATAATTTAAAAAAATCATTGATATTTAAAAAATCATTTATTGATATATGTATTACTTTTTTACCGTTCGATTGTTTTCACATCATAAAATAGTGCATAACTTAAATATAATATTTATTATATATATAACATTAACATTCTTGAAAATAATATTTAATTAAGTAAAATTTATTATTTAAATTTATTAAAATGTATTTGTTTATATAATATTTATCATAATATCCAAGTTTGAATCAAATTAATTCTTTAAAATAAAAACAAATAATAATTTTAATAAAATAGTTTGAAACTTACATATCAAGATAAATAATAGAATCAAGTTTGAAAAACCGCAAAAATAAATCATTACACAGTATAAATACGAACTAGAATAAAATAATTTAAAAATTTATAAGAACAAAACGATATCTATTAACAAAAATGTAAATTTTTAGAGTTATCTTCATTTGTAATTACTCAAATAATTAAATAATTAACAAATTTAATGAAAGAAAATAATTTTCAAAAATTTTTTTTTATATTTCAATTTTTTTATTCTATAAATTCTATAAATTTTTTATTCTATAAATAAAATTGATTACATAAAAAAAAGTATAGTAAGTAAACCACATTATAAAATTAGAATAAACAATAATTTCAAAATAATTGATAATAAAAAAAAGTATATCATAAAGATAATAAAATAAATGTTTTTTATTTTATTTAGAAATAAAAAAAAATAAATTTAAAAAAGATAATTATTTAAAAAAATTAATTTTCTAATATAGAAAATATATAATAACATTTTTAAAGTTACATGAAATATAATTTCGATTGAATTTGTTAAAATATATATATATATATATATATATATATATATATTCAATGCAATTGACCGATCATTAGATATACTTGTATCGCCATCTAGTGATATTTAGTTTGCATGACAATAGTGAAATTGATTGAGAAGTTAATATAAAATATAGTATTTCATCAAAAATAAAATTAATCGTGCAATGTGCAAGTGAATATTAACGTACTTTATTTTATACGTGCCAATAAATGTAAGTATTAAGAATAATATACTTTGAATAGAATATTAAACTTGAAATATAAATATTATTAATCAATAACATAAATCGAAATATTAAAATTGCGTAATTTCTTTGTTTGGTATCAAAAATTTTTTTTATAAAAATTGTGATATGCAATGTTTTATAATATTTATATGTTATTATAGATAAATGTAAAGTTAACCTAAACGTTGAACCAAAAATATGAATTAGTCATACATATATTTAAAATACCATAAATATTCTATTTTTTAGATAATTTAAGAGTTTATTAATATATTATATTCATGACAACTAATATAAATATATACTTAATAAAAAGTAAAAATAATCTTTAATTTTCAATAAATATAAAAATATTAGATATATTTTTTAAAAATTTAAAATATATAGCATCTTATAAATAATTTAGTGATAAAAATTTTATTATGGTTATTTTATTTAATCTATATTGATATTATGCAGAATTTGATTATTTTTTCAAAAACTTATTTACAAATTTTTTGTTATTAATAAATTAATAAATTATTAATAATTATTAAATTTATTACAGAATCATATCTTTCAAAATTACAAATTAAAATTAACTTACCTATTGCCCTTGAAACACCTAATACTCCATTCACACGCATAGTTCCCATACTTGGCATCACTACTCCTCCTGCTTTTCGTATCCTTTGTACTTCATCCTAAAGCAAATAATGAATATTTTTCGCAGATAATATTATGAATTTTTAATAGGACACATTATATATATCAAGTATCAATTGTTTTTTAAACAAAGCAAAATAAATCTAATTTGAAATTTACTGTCAAAATATCTTTAAATCAAAAAATAAATTTTGATATAATAAATTATTAAAATCATTAATTAAATAAATTTAAAATGACATTAGTAGGGACACAAATAGATAGTGATAAGAGATTACTAATTTTTGACACTTATGAAGATTATTTGAATTCTTTAATATCATTTGTTGATCTTGGATATCTAGGAAATCTTCATATTGCACGTCAATTAGCTGAACTTGGCTATCGTTGTGCAGGTGAAACACTCGATGAAGATACATTTTATCGACGTTTAAAAGCTGTGAAAAATTTAGTTTTTCCAATTTATAAACCATATGAATTAACATCAGAACTATTGATACCAAGTGATAATGTAATGCAAGAATTAGCACTTAGAGAACATTTAAACAGATTGAAAATCATATCCACTATTATATTTATAAGAAACTTAACAAAACTTCAGTTTGAAGTTTCTGGTTACATTGATTATAATGAAAGACTTGAAAAAGAAAATTGGCTTGCATATTTTGAAGGAAGAAAAAAGATATGGCCTTGTGCATCTGATCTTGCATACTATGATTGGAGAACAGGAAAATCATGTTTAAATGAAACATTAAATTTTGAACCTGTTATAGATCCAATATTAGGTCTTCGATTCAAACATAATCATGATAGACATTTTATTAATGTAGATCCTGGAATACCTACTCCAGGAATATATACAACACGAGTAAGAATACATAGTCAACAATATCAACATGTAATATTATATGATCATGTTCTTAGGAGTAAAATTTAAAAATATTAAATGGAAATATACTTACTTCGCGATGAAGTCGATGAGGATTCACTAGCTGAACAACACTATCACGTTTTATTAGCATGGCTGTTGAATCTCCTACCCAAGCAACATATAATCTTTTATTTAATATTAAAGTGCAAACTGCAGTAGTCCCACCACATAGTTTCTAAATAAAAATATTAAAAATAAAAATTATATAAATATAAAATATTGCACATTTATTTAATTACATTATATATACATATATATATATTTTTATTTCTTACTTGTGTCTTTGATTTTTCTATAAATTGTCTGTCTGTAGTAAGAAAAGCATCGCGTAAGGCACGCTCTGGATCTGTAGGATAATATATGCTTTCTGTTAAATATTGATGTAGATGAGCAGCACAATATACAGCTGCATCTTGTCCTGCATGTCCATCAAATACTGCATAATAATTTGCTATAGAATCATCCTAATTTGAAACATATTTTTTTAATAAAAAAATTCATTATTTATATTGTATTAATTATTAAATATATAATATCAATATTTACCTCAATACCAAATGTAGTATGTAAATCGTGTAAAATCACATAACGGTCTTCCATTTTTCTTCTACAATTTTTACTTCCACCTGCTGTTATTTGTGGTAATGGAGTTGAAGGAGGAGGTGGCAATAATGCCAATCTACTATTGTCCAGATAACGGGTACAAATTTCATTAACTTTATTAATAATAGCTTGCATTAATTTTAATGAAGTATATGCTATAAGATAAAAAATATCATTAGATACATTTTTTTTATTACATACATTTCTTATACAAAAAAAGTTTATTGAAAGATAACATACTTTTTTCTTGGGATTTAAATCCACAATCTTCTGGTTGTTTTTTGCACATAGATTTAATTTCTTGTATTACTTGATGAACTAAATATGCTTGTAAACTTGCTGGACATTGCCTGGAACATTAAAAAATTCTTTATATATATATATATAATAATTAATCTCCAAGAACTTATAATAATATAGATTATTTTTAAAAATAATTATCTAAATAAATTTCGCAATATATAACTCTGAATATAGAAACCATAAAAATAATTGAAACAGTAAGTTAATAAATTGACGGTAATATACGAAATTTTGAATTTACAATTCAAAAATTTATTTTCTTTATGAAAATATATTGTTATATATAGTAATATAATACATAATAGCAACCATGGATTTTTCATTTCGAAATTCTTTAAATCGTAAGCACATACATAATATAAATTATTTACAATTTATTCAAAAAATAATTTTAAATTAACCTTCGAAATATATTTCTTAATATTAACGCATATGAAATCTAATATATGAAATCTAATTATAATCATTTTTTACATATTATTTTATATATTATAATTATTTTAATTTTTGATTATTTGATTTAATCGTAGAAAAAACTTTTAAGCTTTTTACAATTTAAAAATTAAATATTCAACAGATGGTTAATATATAGTTAAAGTAATGTATATACAAAACTTTCATTGAAAAAATGAAAATTTTATCATATTGAAGATTATATTTAATATATATAAAAATTTCCATATAAAGATTAATTAATTATTGTTATTTATTATTTATAATTATTGTAATTCCTTATTCAAATTATTTATATTAAGAAATTTATATTATTTATCAAATTCTACTGTAATTTTATAATATATTTAATTCATAATTAGTATTAATTCAAAGTTGATATTTAAATATATATTACATAATTTTTAATTTTTTTAAAAATCATATTTTTATCACGTTCATATACTAATGATAATTATAGATAACAGTCATACAATTTTAAAATTATATTTCAAAACTAAAGAGAAAATTTTAATTAAATTATTGTATTTGAAAAATAATAAAATTATAAAACTTAAATTATTTAAGTTTAGCAAGAGTTTTTTAAATGAATCAGATTATTTTGTTTTTTTCCCATCTTATTATATTATATTCAAAGTAAAATAAAATCAAACATTTTACAATTTTCTTGTGAATCATTTGACAATATTTTACATTTTTTTTAAAATATTTGTTATTTTTATAATTATTAATATTTTTCTTTTTAGTAGATAGAAAGAAACAATCATTATTTAAAATTTATTTCATTAAAAGTTTCACATTTCTTCATAAAAAAATATCATTGTAGAAATAATGCATTTTCTTTACTAAAACATTCATACATACTTTTATATCTTATCTAATAAACGTAGTAATACGTTACAATCAAATATATCGCTTTATCTTATTGAATCCGGATATTTATAATTTATTATAAGAAGAATTAGATTTATCTTTTTAAATAATTATTACTAAATTATTACTAATTATTATTAATTAAAAAATTGAAAACTTTATAAATTATAATTCACTAATTAATTTATTAAAAAAAATAAAATAAAAGAATTTGAAAAATTATATGCATTTCCATATCAGTTTAAGTATATCGTTTAGATATAAAAAATCTATGGAGAGGAGAAGTTACTTCAAAACAGCATACGATTGAAGAACAAGGAGATTACGCTTTAGATAGACATTTTATCAACATCATAGACACCAGTAATAGTGAGGAGACGACTGCATCAAATATATTAAAATCAAAATCTTTCGAACTGGTTCATAGTGAGAACTCGCCACAGTCTGTGAGAAAGTGTTCCAAACGAATACCAAACACATCTTCTCAGGAGCATTACCGACAGGAGAGAGAAATGACATCGATCGTCGGCACTTATCAACATGAAAGCAATGAAAACCTCGACGAATATTTTAAAGCTGTGGGTATGTTGAAAGCGACTAAAAATGAATGTGGTATATCTTCCTATGAAAGCAAAAATAAATATCTTCTATAACATTATCTTTTTCCGCATTGTTTTCTATTTAGTTTATTATTGAAACATTTAAGAATGAAAAAAATATTTATTTATTATACAAAATAATAATTATAAGTATACATAATGTATTATTATAATTATAGATTAAAATTTTGTTCTTGATTAATGTATAAGTATATATACATAGCGCGTGCAAATATATAATATATATACATATATATATATTTACATATGTATATAATATGTGTATAATATATTTTTATTACTTATATTAATAATATGTACGTTTTTTTTATTCATTAAATATTCCGTTGAATAAAGAATTAGAATATTTAATCTCAATGAAATATTTATTGTAAACCTTTTATCGAATTATATTAAATATGTCGTTAATTTAATAAAAGACAAAATCTTGAATGTGATTAATATTGTATTATATACAAAATATTATATAAAATCAAAATAAAAGCGATTTCGTTTTCAATTATATGCACCTATAGGTGTACCATACATTCCACGAAAACTGATGTGTATGTCCAGTCCGCGACTGGAAATATCGAACGATGATGATAAATGGACCATTCGTACCATTACAATGATTCGTATGGCAGAAGTGACGTTTACTCTCGGTGAAGAATACGAAGAATACATGCCTACAGGAGTTATACTGAAAGTACTATTAATATTTATCGAACTATTGTATTCATTTTAACTTAATCGATAACCATCTAAATTTTTTATAGAAAAAAAATATTATTTTTTTAATAATCCAATAAATTTAAATATTTACCGTTAAATGGTATAAATTTATATACCATTATATAAGATAAAGATATAAATTTTAAAAAGATAAATATTTGTATTTATCTATTAGAAAAATCATAAAAAAATACTTAAATATTTAATGTAGTGCAACTATAATTTATATATATACTATTTTTAGTTTTTATAATATTTTATGTCTGCTTTTGTTTAGAATATAACTACACTGGAGGGAGATAATCTAGTGACAGTTTCAGTCGGTCCAAATAACAGCAAAGTATTACGGAAGTACGAAATTACAAAAGATGGTGTAGTTTTGGTACGTGTCATTTATATTTTCATTCACATAATTGTTGGAAGTATATTCTAAATTTTTTAAATATGAAATATTAAAAGAAAAATAGAAAAATTTTATTTAAAAAAATTTTAATTATTCGAAAATTAATTAAATTAAAAATTAGAGGTTAATTCAATTAATTTAAGATTTTAATTCAAATATTTTACAAGAGATTTTTTTATATTAAACTTACTTTAATAGTATAAACTTTTTTCATAATTTATTTATTCATTATTCATATTCATATTATCATTTATATATTGCACACATATAATCTTTAAATTATATATAACACCAATTATTTTATATAAAAAATATAAAAAATATTTCAACATTTTATATATATTTTTTAAACTGTTAATTTATAATTAACACTAATTTATTAATCAAAATAAAAATCTTTGTAAACATTATTACATGTATGTATGTATAAATTGATCATATAAACAATGAAATGAAAAATTTAATAATATTATATTTTCTATTTTCAGATAATGACTCACGAAAAAAGTGGCCAAATAGGAAAACGCTATTTTAAGCGTCTTTAATAAATTTTAGTTGCAAAAATATTTCTATATTTTATTCGATATATTACATTAACTTATTATTAATGTATATTAACTTATTATTAATGATTAATTTTTTACTTACATTTTACATATATATTACATATATATATGTACATTACATACATTACATATATATAACAATAAGTTGACGATAATATAATTTGAAAGCATATTTTAAATAAAAAAAAATTATGAAACGTAACTCGCATAGAAAATGCTAATAATGATTAGAAGAAAAAAAGTCACGGATCAATCGTAAATGTTTCTACCGTCATTTATGGCATGCGCCCCACCTACTTTTGCTGAATGTCACGTGTTGCATAATATAAAAAAGCATGGATAAATAAAAATTATAATATAAATTTAAAATAAAGAATTAAAATCTCGAGTATTTGAGTTGCGTTTAAAAGTATCAAGATTATTTGTACGTTTATATATAATAGAAAAAATTACTATAAAATGTTAGTTTAGAAGATCTATATTGTTTCTGTTTACATTTGATGCCGGCCGCCATAGAAGCTATCAACAAATAAACATGTCTTATGTCCACCCACGCATTGGCATGCTGCAATATTATTCATTTAAAAAGTACATTCACTTACGTCTGGTTGAGATATTGTAGAGTCACATTGATGATTTCACCGACGATCTCAGCTTCGGTCACATTATATGAGCTCACCGAAACAGGCAGTTGATCGTATGGATTTACTCTAGAAACAAATTCAGAGAAAAAACGGCTATACGCCCCAAGATAATCACCATCAGGACAATCTTCCGCCATTCTTTTTTGTCTTCGTGAAAAATTCAAATTAACGGCGCACACTTCTGTCAGCACAAAGAGCACAATACTTGACTTCGTTTATGAGATGTTAACACGATACCTCAGTAGCTATCTCTTCGCAAGTCGAATTAAAACATAGAAATATAAGAATGAAACGAAGAGAAAGAGGAAAAAAGCAAAAGTGTGTACGTATTTTGTTTTTATCGTTTTTCTAACAAAGCGATGTTCTGATCTAAACCTATTCGTTGATAGGAGATATTTGTATTTAGGTTACGTCACTCATTCAACATCGCGTACGCACATAACACTACGGGTTCGATCGAACGACGCGTTTCACTATTGTGCTTCTCTCAAAGAAGTGGGGAGGATTTGCCGCGACGTTTAAACACTATCTCTCCCGCTTCTTTGAGTCCAGCGTTGCTTTTTGCCTTTCCTTTTACCACGGCCACTGGCCACTTGCGGATTGACTCTCGTAACGGAGGAAAAAGTGCGTAACGGAATTCACCGAGTAGCATACTGCGCATGTCTGACACGGAGTTCTATTGCTTCTCGACTGTACATCTACTATACTTCTTTATATTCTTATATCTATGTATTTATTATTATCTTTTTTCAAATTATACATATTGTCATATATATTTGATCATATATTTGATAATATTTATTTAAAATAAATGATCATATAAATCTATAGATACAAAGCATAATCAAAATAAAATTTTCTTTATAAAAATATTAAAGAAAAATGAATTCATTTAAAAAGAAATATTTCCAATTAAGTATTAAAAGTAACTAATTGTAAAATAAATATGTAAATTATTTTTATTAAAAAAAATTAATATTTAATTGTAAATAAATTGTACATGTATATTAAAGTTACATTATAATAATTTTAATTATTTTGAAAAATTTTAATTAAAATATAAAAATATTTTTATTCATATATTTTTGTGCATAATAATAAATATATTGTATTTTATATTGTAAAATATATATATATATTTTTATATATTTTTTTATTTTTAATATAAGTTATTTTTATTTTAAATTTGATTAAAATTTTAGACGATAAATTAATTCCTAGCAAATTTATTTTATACTTACTTATTTTGATTAATTAATATTTTTCATATCATGTTTCATACTCAATTTATAATTTAAAATATACATAATATAAATTTATAATTTATAAATTTTTTGTTACAACAATAAAACACAAAATCTTCAAAAAATTTAAGATTTTAGAAAAATGTTTATTTTTACAATATTGCATTAGCTAAATTCTTAATATCATATGATATTAAAGAAATTAAATTATTTTTACATTATGGTACAAAAATTTTTTATATTTTCTTCACTTTTTTTATTTTTTTCTCTGTTACTTACAATTTTTAAATATGAATTCTGACTTTTTTCGTCCAACCACTTAGGTAGTGGTGCATTCCAATTTTCTGGAGGTTTATCTCGTTTTTGCCAAACATCATTACTATAATGAGCTTGTAACCTTTGAAATCTACGTTTTTTCTCACTTTCTATTAGTTCAATCTATATAAAGAATACAATATTAAAACATAAATATTTTCATTTTTTAAATTTTATACAATATTTTTCAATTATTTGATTTCTAACATACATATGCTTTTTTATCTTTTTTGTGTTCCCATAAATCACAATTATTATAATCAATTTTCCATTGTTTACAATCTATTGCTTCTCCAAATATGAAATATTGATGAAAACGAGCTCTAATGCTTGTACAATCATTATATTCCGCTTTGTAAATTTCACATGGCTTAATCTGAAATATAAAAAATGTTAAATTAATTATTATAAACAAATAAATATAATATAATAAAATTAACATTTTATTATATCTTTAATATCTAATTAATAATTAAAACTGAAATATAAATAAAGTTAAGATATAAAAACAAAATATATAATAACCAGCCAAGAATATTCAATTTCTTCTTGAATTTTGTTTGCAGTGTTGTTAGGTTCAGGCATCTTAGTTTTATTTCTTTGATTAAATAATTTAGTTAAATAATTATCAATTATTTTTTTTCTTATAATTAAAACTCAGAATTAAATGATTAATATTTTTTTACCATTTAAAATTTGTTTTAATGAGATATCATGTTTATAAAAACGGAATATTTATAAATATTTAATGATTCAATACAACATGACATTACATAACGTCAGTAATATAAGATTCCTATTGATATTTCAATAATATTATAATATATCTCACATTTAAATATTGAATGTTTCAAAAAAATTATAATTTTATTATTATATTTTAGATTATATTAAAACATTATATAAAAAAAATAATTATGAATTCACTTTAACATATTAAGCATAGTTTACATTTCGGAAATAAGCCATCATGTTCAATCTGACAACACTGCATAAATAGCATAAACAGTATTTTACAAGCATAAACAATTTTATATATTGTTATGATTTTATTATTATTAATTTATAATATTTCAAATATTGTATATATATTCAAATATTATTATGTATAAAAAAATTAAAATAAAAAATACAAAAATTTATCTTATTCAATAAGACAAATTTTGTCTTATTGAAATAGAAATACAAATTATATTTCATAAATATACTATGAAAAATTATTGTAATCTATTTATTAATGTAAACAAAATAAATCTGTATTACATGTTATAATATTGAACTATAATTTCAATATAATATTTCATTTATTAAATAATTCATAATATGCGGGAAATCACAGCAACTAAATTATACCTATATTAAAATGATAGTGTCAGTACTATTGTCAAATTTGATAAAATAAATTTCCCTCTTTTTTTTTTTTGAAGGAATAATTTTTTGTTTTAATAATTAAACTATTTACATAAATTTTTAATCAATAAGAATTATTTATGACAATGAATAAAATATTTTATAATATTGTATTCTTTTTTTTCTTAAAAATCTTTTTTATACATTCTTACATATGTATATATATATATATATATATATATATATATTTTAAGGTTTGATGTTATATTAATTTTATATCTTTTTAATCAATATTATATAATTATATAATAGGCATGTTTATAATATATATGCATTTACACTTTTTTATGATATTATAAAATAAAAAAACTGTTGCATTCATTTGTTTGTACCAGTGATGCTCATTTTAACTAGATTTGATATATTAAATTCTAACAAACTTACTATATTATCGTTATTAGAATATTTTTATCATGAAATTTTATTTCATAGAAGTTAAACGAATAATACTGATTTAAATTTTTTCAAAACATAAAAATTTTAGTTTATTAATGAGTATCACTGATTTCCGCCATTCTCTCTTGCCCCTACCAGGCGTCGCGAACATATCGTCTTATTATGATTGTAATTCTTGTATTCTTGTTCTTAGTTTGAATTGAGTGTGTTTGCTATCTTATTGTAGAAATTTGCAACGACTGTCAGTTTCCTAACCTCTTTGCCGACGAATGTTCCGGTGTTTCATATTGTGTTCAGTTAATAGTAACATATAATCACATAACATGATGTCGCGGTCTGTGCGTGCAGAGACTCGTAGTCGTGCCAAGGATGATATTAAGCGTGTAATGCAAGTCGTTGACAAAGTTCGCCATTGGTAAATCTCTTAACATATTATAGATGCACGAGGAAATGTTGAAACGTTTCACAAAAAAAGCAAAGAATGTAGTAAATATGGATATCAAAAATGGATTAAAATTTTTCTTACTTGCGAGATTTAATAGAGATTTTGCATTACACATGTCAGCTGTAAACAGACTTTTGTAGTTATGAAATATTTCATGTGTGTTGATTGAGTAATAGTGTTGTATGTCTGCTTTTTTAATAACAGTAAAGAAGGTAGCTCCTCTATCTGTTATTTTAATATTAATATAAGAAATGCGTTTCTCATGCTGATATTCTTATAGGGAAAAGAAATGGGTTACAATCGGAGAAACTACTATGAAGATTTATAAATGGGTACCTATATCGACACTTGATCAGGTAAATAAAAGTTGCAAAACATTTATAAAAATAATCTATTAAAATTAATATTTCATTTTGTAGAAGAAGAAAGGAAAAACAGTTGCAGACAAAGAAAATGGTTTGCCAAGAAAAAGTGGATTAGATTCTTCAAATTCCAACTTTGGTCTTACAGAAGATTCAAATACATGTAAGTTAAATTTCATAATATATAAAATATGTTATTTTTGAATATTAAAATTTATAAAAGTTGTGTAATATGTTAGGTTTTTCAACTGTTAGTGATTCTCAAGGATTAACAGACTTTTCTGCGCATCTGGGATTTTCAGAAGATTCCAATTCACAAAATAGTGAACCAACACCTAAAAGGTTAAAGACTGATTAAAGTTTATCTTGTAACTGTTATTTGAGATATAAGATATTTAGGAAATCATTTTTATCTTCTACAAAATTTGCACATTATAAAGTTATCTTAAATCATGATTGTAAATTGACAAATTCAAAGAAATTTCATTTTTCATTTTATTCTATTTAATGAATATTTTTTCATTGAAGAAAAGATAATCATATTAAACAATTTAAGTTTAACATAGTAAATTTATTTTTTTATACATGAATTTATTACAAATTAACATGGTTTAATTTAGAAATCACAATTAATGGTATTTTAATAAAAAATTCGTTTCAGATATTCAGTGCATTTTATGATCTGATTTGAAAGAGACAACAAAAATGTAGTATAAAATTATTTTTCAAAACAGATTATATATTTTAAATAATATTCATATCATCATAATATTATTTAATTCATGAAATACAAACAAGATTTTCATTGATTTAATTATAACATCTTAATCATTGACATATAGAATCTGGGACATGTAAAATAGATAATGATACTTATTTTTGCTGTAAAATAGTACCTCCAAAATACTTATGTATAATGTTACATTTATCTTAAAGCTATTTATGTGTCTAAACATAATCACATGTTCAATAGTTGTTTGATAATTGAGTATCATTGTACATACTTCAAATACCATTTTTTTGCTGATTTATATTTTACAATGAACTTGCATTCCTTGAGATTATGTTATAGCACCATGAAATGTACAAAATACGCTTTGACACTTATAAATAAAAGAATAAAATTGCGAATGTTTGAATTTATATTTACATAAGTTTTTAAGAAAGCAGAAAATGCTTTGGTAATGTTATTACATAATCATTTTCATTTATTTAAAAGCTAATGTACTTAAAATATATAATATTTAAACATTTATTAAAAGGAAGCAAGAAAAAAATTTATTACATAGTTAATTATTACAATTTCTGTATGATAACTGTATATATAAATTCTTATCTATTATTTTAATAATTTGTGTGTGTACGTTATGGACTATGTACAGAAAAAATCCGAATATAAAAAAAAAATTTAATGTCTTTTTTAATACCTTTAATCTAGTGATAATCTTTAATGAAAGATTTTTATATTTGAATTTTCATAATTTTATTTTAATTTAAATTCTAAATTGAATATTAATATTATTAATTGATATAATTAATATGAATATATTTGATAATAAATTTAATATTTAAAATTATTTTTAAACTTCTCTATTCTCTTAATAACTTAAAATCTGCATGTTTTGCATGATATTTCTTAAACAAATCAATGAATTAAACTATACAATTTTTTAGAGAAAAATGTAATATTTATATATTATATTTAATTTATATCTTATACGTAAAATTAAGTAAAGAGTAAAATTAATAAAAATAATCATAAAAATATATTTTTTTAAATAAAATATATATCTTATTAAGTAGATTGCAAGATAAACATATATGTTTACCAAGGTAAAATTTTTCCATCATATTGTATAAAACAACCTGTATGTTTTTCAGTTAATGTATTTAATGTTTTTAAGATGTTATTAACACTAGTATCAATATCCATGGGCGCTCCGTTACCACCCATATCTGTACGTACCCAACCAGGATGAAAACAAGCGACGAGGATTCCATCTTGCTTTAAATCAATGCTCATTGATTTTGTAGCTGCATTAAGCGCTACCTAAAAATAAGATAAAATATATAAAATATCTTATAATATGAATTATAAGATAATTGATAAATTCTTTATTATATTATTCAGATTATATATGACTATAAATATATTATATTATATGTTAAAATAAAAAAAAATATTACCTTACTACATCTATATGGATAATATCCACCTTCATTATTTTCAGCAATACTTCCAAGAATTGAAGACATGTTAATAACTGCAGCTCTGTTAACATTCATTTTTGATTTGTCTGCAAAATTATTAGATGCTATTTTCAACAGTGGTAAAAATGCCTAAAAATTTATGAAAAATTAATTATTAATTTATAATTAAAAATATATAAACTAAAATATAGTAAATCTAACATATAAAAATAATATTTAAATTATATAAAGAATTCTATAAAATTAAACTATTTTATAAATAATAAATTATTTATAAATATCTTATAAAGAAAGAAAAAAACAGGGAATAAAAATTCTAATAATTTTCATTAAGATAAAATATATATTTATATATTAAATATTAAATAATATATTAATAATATAAATATTAAATTATATATTAAATATATTAAATATATATTAAATTATATATTAAATATATATTTATATAATTCTATAAACTATATAAATGATAAAGAATTAGTTTTTTAAATAAAATGTATAAATATTTAAGTTTTAAAATATTTTTTTAATATTATATTTCCTAAATATAAAAATAATGCTTAAAATAAATTTAAGACTTACTTTTGTTAACATAATTGGCGCTATTGTATTTACATAAAATTGTTTTATAAGCTGTTCTTCTTTGACAAGACCAAGTCTTGTAAATTTTGTACTAATCCCAGCATTATTGTATAAGACATTTAGTCCTGCTTTGCCTACTTTTTCGTTCACGATTTGTACTAATTTGTCGTAATCTTTAGTATTTGTTACATCTTTAAAAAAAAAAAAAAAGAAAAAAAGAGTAGTAAAAATTGTTCAATTTTCAAAATGTATAGATTACAATTAGATTAAATATATGAATTATTTACTATTTTTTAAATATAAAGTATAACAAATTTTGCTAATATTGTAAAATAGTAAGAAATATCAAATAATGATCAAATAATATATACAACAATTAATTTCTCTTTGCAAATTTATTGAATCTATTATTTATGATGAAATAAAAATCACATACATATTTCGTTTTTATTTTTAAACAATCTTTAACAATTATAAATCATCTGATAATAGTTATTTTTGAAAAATGAGTATATGTATATTTCTAAAAATAAAATTTGATCTTTAAAATTTTAATCTATATATTTAATACTTTCATAGATGACTTTAAACTATTAACTATAGTATTTCAACTATAGTGTAGTGTATTCCATTTACTATAATAATAGTTCTGGTCAATAGATTTGTATTTTTGATAAAGCAATTGCATAACAGTACAAAGTTGCTATTTTTGGTGTTCAATTTTCAAAATAATCTTGACATAAAAATTGATTTTCCAGTTAGTATTTGATGTAAAATTATTTAATTTCGACGATTTATATTCAGTTTCATTACAATTAAATAAATGTAACAGACATTCGTAAGTCATATTTCTTTTTCTTTACTTCTTTTTATTTATGATTTTATTAAATTTATATGTAAGATACTATTTCCTTATTTTTAAAAATTATATTAGAAAAAATTTTTAAATTATTTGACAATTTTTTTAATAATATAAAAATATAATTGAATCGAATTGAAAATGATTTATATATTATATATGTGTAGTTTCGTTATGTGTTTTAATCAATCATGTATACACATAAGAACTTAATTAATTTCTTAATTTCCTATATCTAAAATTAATATTTTTTACATCATATATTATTTTTTTGAAAAATTATTTTAAAATCGACATATTTTGTTATATAAATTGTTTAAATATATTAAATAATAAATATAAATATAAAATTTTATTATTATCAGAATGAATAACATTTTATAATTCATTATCAGATATCATATTAGATATCATAATAAGTACATATCAATCAATATAATTCAAATGAAATTCCAATTTTTTTCAATAACAGTAAACAAATTTTTACTCTGCAAATATAGATTATTGTCTCTTCGATCATCAATCTGAATTTCTTATTTTGTATATTTCAATATGAAATCTAAGAAAAAGAAATCATGGTGTCTTAATTGTCGGAAAAAATCGCAAACCATGGATTCAGATTTAAGTGATCAAGAAATAGATGACTATGCGAAATCTTTGAATAATCTTACGGAAAAACAAAATAATTTAACAGGTAATTTTTTTATAATTTATTATTAAGATTTTTAAAAATTACAATATAAAAAAGATATAAAAATTTTTTTATATAAATATTATTTTATTTAGATTTTTTTTTAAATTTTTATATATTTTATTGTTATATAAAAAATTTTATGTGACAAGCGACAAAAGAAAATAGTTTCAATAAAATCATTTCGACATTTCACAATTTAAATCTTTTGAAAAAATCTAAGATAGATTGATTACTCATGTAAAGTTATTGATAACATATTTTTTTAACACGAATGATAAAGATAAAACATATTGTTTAAAGAACAATTAAACATAATAATATAATTTAATAAAATTTAATAAAATTTTTTGTATATTTTAATAAAATCTTTTGTATATTATATTAGATATTATTAATTTATTATTATAATTTACATTTAAATTCACTTAAAAAGTTATTCATTTATTCATTTAAATTGTTTTCGAAATGTAAAATAATATTTTACCTTAAATTAATAAATTAAATTGTTTAAAATTAGAATTGAAAATATTCGCAATATCTGAAGCACCGAATTTTTTTTAAACATTGATTTTTTCATTATTTTTATTCATAAAAATTCCTATAGATTAAAAATAAAAAGTTGCTTTACGAAATAATACTGAACACGTGTTATATGTCACCAAATTAATGACTGAATTAATTTTGAATAAATAATCTTTTTGTATCTTTTTATTATTTTTGATTAGTTATGATAATTAAAATAAGAAATGAAAAAATATAAAATAATTGTAAATAGTAATTTTAATTCTTTTACTATAATTTTTTTATTAAATGTATTTTTTAAATATTTATTTTATTAATATTTTATTATTATAAAGTATTTTATTACTATAAAAATTGTATTAAAAATTATATTAACCTTATACTTTAAGAACAAAATGTATTAAGTCACAATTATCTGACTTCTAAATTAATCCAGAAAAACTTCATTTATTATATAAAAACAATTTTTCATTTATTGTATAATTTTTTTTATAAAAAATGAAGTCAATAACGAAACAGATTATTGTTAGATTATATTTGTGATAAAAATAATAATAATAATATTTTATTTGAATTTACAAGATGATATGATATAGTTACATACCTATTTCGATGATATGAATATTTTTTGATTTCTCAGCTAATGTAGTTAATTCCTAAAAGAAAAAGACAAATTCTAAAATAATTGTCAATTATTTAATGAAATATTCTAAAATATCCTTGAATTTACAATATGTAATTCGAATAAATTCATGAATTATTTCAAACAATCACATAATTATCATCCTTAACAAAAAAAAATATATATATTTAAAATAAATCAAAAGATACTAATCATGAAAATAAAAAGAGTTATTCCTAAGATAAATATAAATATAAAACGAAAAATTTTATACAATAAATTCTTGTATATATATATATAATAAAGATTATTTGAATTTTCTAAAATTTATATTAAATTTTCTGAGAACCAATTTTCAAAAGCTTTTCATAACGAAATCTATAGTGACTTGCGAATCGAATGTTTTCTTGTATAATTGTGTGACATACAATGTGTAAGTTACTAATATAAATCGAACTTGAATCTATGTGTATGTGTGTGTGTAGTAACCATATAATAGATGGCGGTAAAGGACTCAAGTAGGCGTCAGTTCGCTTTTGTCTTTTAGTTACAAGAAGTCGTTCGATTAAGTACTATATAAAACAGAGAACATTCCTTACAGAGAAAAAGCATTAGTTATTCCTTTTATTTCTACATTCCTTTATAACGTGAATATTAAAACGAATATTAAAGTGAAACGATGCCACCAATTGGTAAGTCCAATTTATAAATCGAGTCCGGTTATTACATAATGTCTTTCATTCACTTGTGACCAATCTTACCCTTGCTTTATTCACGTCTCGGCAAGTTGCGAAAATATTTTCTGGTGGTTGCGACTGTTTCACTAGGTGTTTCACAAAACCTAATCCAATTCCACGGTTGCAGCCCGTGATCAAAATTGACTTCATTATACGTTACAATTATCTTCTCGGATATTTTTCTTATAATTCTCCAATTACTTGTATTCCGTGAAATCTTATTTTATATTGTGAAACACGAGTGTCATTAGGGTGACGTCACGTGGCCGTGAACGGCTGGTAATAATCATGGCGACGTTAACGTTGCTCACGAGGCTTGTGACATTTCGTTCCGCTCACGCCAAATTGCTCGAGTTACCATGGTCGACATGTAACACTTTTCCTTATGGAAGGACTGCAATGGCTTGCATGTGCTGTGAGTTTCAGGATTCTGTGATTTGTAGATGAGAACACGGTTTAGTTTATTAACGTTATGTGAAATCTATCTATTTGTATATTGATAACCGGTAGTTATATTAGGTTAAAAATAATTGAGTTGAATTAATATGATTCTGTGATTTGTTTGAAGATTCTATTAATTGACGTACGATTTGGTCGATAGTTTTATTTTTAGACAGTTTCATCACAATATAGTTGTACATTTATGATAACAAAAGTATTACATAACCTCATTCTTATAATTACTTTTATATATTTAAAAGTTTAAAATTAAATATTGTTGTATTGAAATAATATTGTTGTATTAAAATTAAATATTGTGTATTTGTTTGTTATAGCTGATCAAAAATTCATGTATGATCTGATTGTTATTGGGGGTGGATCAGGTGGTTTGGCAGCAGCTAAAGAAGCAGTAAATTTTGGTGCAAAAGTTGCAGTTTTAGATTTTGTCACACCCTCTCCACGAGGTAGCACTTGGGGTTTAGGTGGTACTTGTGTAAATGTTGGTTGTATACCAAAAAAATTGATGCATCAAGCAGCTTTGTTAGGAGAATCAATTCATGTAAGTCTTTTATTAGTAGATTAATTATTTTTTATAATTCAATAATATTTTAAATATTTAATTTTCATATTTCTAGGACTCAGTATCTTATGGTTGGCAGTTACCAGATCCAAAAACTATTAAAAATGATTGGCAAGCATTAAGAACAGCAGTACAAAATCATGTAAAATCTGTAAATTGGGTTACACGAGTAGAACTCAGAACAAAGTTAGCATTATTTTATTTTTATTTTTTAAATATAAAATTTGCATTTACTCATTTTTCTTATTATTACAGAAAAATCGAATATTTTAATGCACTTGGTTATTTTAAAGATCAACATACAATATTAGGAAAACTGAAAAATGGAGAAGAAAAAGAGTTTACAGCTCAAAATATTCTGATTGCTGTAGGTGGTAGACCTAGGTATCCTGATATTCCTGGTGCTTTAGAATATGGTATTACCAGTGATGATATTTTTAGTTTAGAAAAAGCTCCAGGAAAGACACTTATTGTTGGTGCTGGATGTATCCTTTTTATATTGTATAAAAAATATTAATAATTCTAATTTTTATTTTTCTATTTATACTATTGTATATAATTTTTTGTAAAATTTTAAATATAATATGAAATATATATACAAATTCTAATCAATTTCATAAACATTTCAATACAATTTTTATAAAAAAAAATTTTTCTTTAATAAATAAATAGATATTGGTTTAGAATGTGCAGGATTTTTAAATGGCTTAGGTTATGATGCAACTGTAATGGTACGTTCAATCGTGTTACGAGGATTTGATCAACAAATGGCAAATACTGTTGCCCAGGAAATGGAAAGACGTGGTATACACTTTATTTATGAAGCTAAACCATCAAAAATTGAAAAGCAAATTGATGGTCGACTTCTTGTTCATTGGGTGGATAAAGTATGGGTTGATAATATATATCTTACATTACAGATAATACATATTTTATAATTTAAAAAAAAATAAGAATTAATATTTAAATTATTTTCATATAACAATCTTTATTTTAGGATAGAGAAACACATCAGGATACTTTCGATACTGTTCTTTTTGCTATTGGTCGCAAACCACTCACAGAAGAATTAAAACCTGAAAATATTGGTCTTAAACTTGTTCCTGAAACTTCAAAAATAGATGCAATAGATGAGCAAACAAATGTCCCAAATGTATATGCTGTTGGTGATGTACTTCATGTGAGTTTTAAATTTTCAATTTTTTTAACAATAGATTTTTTTCTCTACTTTATTACAATTTATATTTAATTTTATATATTATTTAATATATAAAATTATATTTAACTTTATATTATTATTAAAATATATATCATAATTATCATTGTAAAGAATATATAAATTACTAAAATAAAATTATTATTTATAATTCATAATTATTTGTAATTCTTCTTGTGCTATTATAGAAAAAACCAGAATTAACTCCTGTTGCTATACATGCGGGTCGATTATTGGCAAGAAGATTATTTGGAAATTCAACGGAACAAATGGATTATGTGAATGTAGCAACAACAATATTTAGTCCTTTAGAATATGGTTGTGTGGGCCTTAGCGAAGAAGCAGCAATTGCTATTCATGGAAACGATAAAATAGAAATTTATCATGCATATTATAAACCAACGGAATTTTTCATACCACAAAAAGATGTTTCTAATTGCTATTTAAAAGTTATTGCTTTTAGAAATGGTGATCAGAGAGTACTTGGCATGCATTTTATTGGTCCTAACGCTGGTGAAGTAATTCAAGGTTTTGCTGTTGCTATTAAGTATGTATTTAATTTTTTTTGTATGTTGTATTAATTACTTGGTGTTTTATTTTTTCTTATTTTTTCAGGTGTAATTTAACATTCCCAAAACTAAAAGATACAGTAGGAATTCATCCAACAGTAGCAGAAGAGTTTACACGTATATCTGTAACTAAACGTTCTGGGCTTGATCCTAAGCCACAAAGTTGTTGCAGTTAAAATATATATAATATTAGACTTGTTGCTAACATTTGTGAATATTTTTGAATATGATGAATGACGAATGTGCTTATTGCATTGATCGTTCGATCTAGAAGTAATTTTCTAATCGGAGATTCTTTTAACTGAAGATATTTTTTATTAAATGCAAGTTGGAGAGAATTCTTCGAATATTACAATATTTTCAATATGAAATTAGAAAGCAATGTAGAACGCATTGCGCTGTATGAAAAATTTGCTTCCTTTGGAGCACTAATAATTAATAAGAATATAACCTACATTGTTTTATAATACTTACAATAATTTTTATAAACATAATTTTTTTCAAATACATCAATATATTCTCATATGTACATTCGAAAAAAAAATAAATAAAAATCAAAATATTTATATGTTATTAATTTATTCGATAACATTAAGAATAATATTACACATTTAAATAAAAAATTAAATAATAAATTATTGACAATAAAATTTAAAGCTAAAAATGCATCATATTATTTTCAATTTTAATAAATATATTATCATATCTATAAAATTTTTAATTTTAAATATTTTAAATATTTTTACATGTTATTTATAATAATAGCAATAAATACATGATTAATTATTATTAAAAATATAAAAACTCTTAATGCTAATATTCTCCAATTATTTCAATTTTGGTTTTCAGTACTATTATTTTTACATTTATATATGATAATACGTGAAAATAGAAAATTTATGTGTATTAAAAAATATATAAATATATATTTCTTTTTTTTCAACTTTTTAAACTTATTATATGACGTTTCTTACGTTGTTGATTTTCTTTTTTCCTTAATATATCAGGAAGGCCACATCGTGGAGATGCCATTAGCTACAACATAATTTTCTTCAAATGAAAATTTCTAAAGGAAATATGTTGCAATCTACGTTCTACAATCGAATAAATATTTTAATTACTTATTTTAATTGTATTTTAATTGTTATTTTTAATATTAATTAATTAAAGTGTTTTTTTTTTTATATATAGAGAACTGTCGAGAATCCAAAAATCGTCCATGAATATTAATAATCTGCATATAAGAATATCAAATATAATAAAATTCAAAAAATAAATTTTAAATGCACCTCAAGTGTTGTATTATCCAGTTGACCAGTAATTGGAATATTTCCAAATTTTTGCAAAGTTTTCACTGCATTTGTTATAGCAGTTTTTTGATATAATGCATCCGAATTAGCGATTCCACTTTCCAAATATCCATATTTTTTCATAAAATCTATCTACAAAATTATTTATAAATTTTTATAAATAAAGGATACATGATATTTTACATTGAACAAATTTAAAGAAGAGATTTTAAGTAGATTTCAAATGATGATTAATCATTAAATTCAAAAAAAAAAAAAAATAAACAATTGTTTTGATCTTTCTATCAAATGAAATAATCTTTAATAAACTTGTATTTTTTTTTTCACTTACCGCAGACAAAGATGACGAAATGTTTTTAACTACTGAATCAACAGGTATTAATTCACATTTTTTCAGAAGAAAAAAGATATAGAAGAAAATATAAAATAACTCCATGAATGTAATATTTTTTTTTTCACGAATTATTTATTTCATTGAGCAATAATATTAAGCAATAAAGAAATATATATTTTTAAAACTTCACTAACATTTTCAATGTTTTAATGCTTTAAGAACTTCTTTTATTAATCAAGAATTAAACCGGTTTAACGACTTTTTCACATACCAGAGACTTCAGCAGATTGATAACGAAATTGATAACGTTGCTTGACCTTTGCTTGCAATTATGAAAATTTATAAAAATACAATTATTCAACGAATAATTTTTGTTTTAATCATATAAAAATAAATGATAGATAAAATAATAGAAATCATTATTTTTTTTTTTTGTATATTTAGAATGAATTTTTTAGTGAATAATGTAAATTAATTAATCAAATTTTTTATGATCATAGAATCGTACAAAATGAAATATATAACGCATGTATATGTTGAAAGTGTAAACAATATAATCATAGGAAGGATTATTATCTTAAAAAGAATTAAATTATTTCTAATATTTCCAATTAAAAAGTAAAAAACAATTTTCACTTGAATCACCCTATAATGTAAGATGTAATTATGTAATTATTTGCTAATTTCATATCATACGAATTGAAATGTTTTAATATATAAATCAATCAAAATGAATTTGACTAGTTCGGAATTTTCGATGATAAAAGGAGAATATTCGGAATATTCTACAGAAGATGAAAAAAGTGAATATGATGATGATAAAATAAAATATTCGGAAGAAAATAAAAAATCCATCAAAGAATCCAATCTTTGTCCATTTGTAAGTAATATAATTGTCTCCAAATTGTATGAAAAAAAAAAAAAATTAAATTAATATATTTTGAGATAATTTTAACTATATACTTATTTTCAGGAATTATTATGGAGTTTCGGATTAAATTCAGACGTACCTCTAATAAATTTAACCACGAAAAATCGTACACTTATCGCTTACTCCTGTTCGCATATCGTAATAATCTATAACTATGAGACTAAAGAAGCATTAAATCTTCAAGGTCATGTAAGAATTTGTTTTTTTTTTTTTTACTATATTTACATTATCTTTTTTTTTTTTGTCTGTAAATAAGTAAAGTGATATAAAGTGAAATATAAAATTTTACAGAAAAATACGGTGAGAACATTATCGACATCGATGGATGGAAAATGGTTACTGTCTGCAGATTTTGAGGAGGATTGCGTAGTTGTTGTTTGGGACACTGAAACTGGGTATAAAGTTTGAAATTAATGTAAAAAGGATTGTAAATTATAAGATAAAGGAATTTGATATCATGAAACTATTTAAAATATAATATAATTCAATGAGATTATTAATGTTAATAAAAATATATTCATTGTATATAAATATTCATTGTAATAATCTTGCCAGGATTCTTTAAAGTCATGACAATAGCGACTTGATTCCCTTCACAATCTACATTTTTTGTTTAAAATATTTAACAAAAAATATTAAATATAAAAAAAAAAATAAAGATATTCTTTTCTAGTGTGCCAATCTCTACTCTATTCAATCCACACGGTGATCAAAAAATGACAGCGGTTAAAATTAGTCCAAATGCTAAATACATAGTGACTGTTGGAGATGAATTTCACCAAAAGGTTCATTTTTGGCTATGGACATACGGAAAAGATAAACCTGATAGTTAATTATACTTACTGCATTCTAATTAAATTTTATTTAAAATTTTATAATTATTGAATATTATTATTTAATTCCGTTTAAAATTTCTTATAATTATTATAAAGTATATATAATCTAAAATCTACATATAAGATCAAAATCATATCTCAAAAATGTGAAAACATCCGTCATAACTGGTGACAGATGAATCTCTAGTCAATGAATATTTTCACATTTTTGGGACACTATAGTTTTAGATAATTATAGTTATCTAAAATTGTAAAATTTGTTTTTTAGAGTCTGTAGAGATAACTGAATTTGATACGAATAGAATAAAAGAAATAGCATTCAATGACGATTGTTCGGAAGAATTTGTTTTAATTGCCGATTATAATGTTATATTTTTTAAATGGGTTAGTACAATTTCATCGCAAAACCATTCTTTTATATCTCTTATTAATCACTAATATTCGAGTAAAATATAAAATATTTTAAAAAAAAAAAAAAATATAATGCGCATAATTTTAAGACTTAATGAAGATTTTCAAATTTTCTTAATAATTTTTTCATGCGAATAAACAATAATCTTTACGAATTTTTAGGAACAAGAGGAATTGAAATTTTATATACCACAAATTTTGAGCAAAGTACGACGATACGGGATCTTCAATTGTTCTTGTTTTATACCTAAAACACTACGAGTATTAACAGCTACAACATATGGTAAAAAAAAAAAAAAGAAAAAAAACGAATAAAATAATATTGCATTAATAATGAAAATTACGACAATCAAAATTTCTGATGATCAATTTTATCGATATTTATAGGATATATCGTTGTTTGGGATATTTCTACTTACAAAGACAAAACTAAGAATAATATTGGGATTAAAAACAAGGAAAGAAAATACATCAAAAGTGTCAAGTTAGAGAAAAGTAGTATTCTGGTGATATTGCATAAAAATGGGTATATTTAATATTTTTTCAATACATAACATATAATTTCAATATTATAGTATTGATATTGCACAAAGTAAACAATAATTTAATTTTAAGGTAAACAATAATGATAATTATCGTAGGAAGATAGTAACAGGATCCTTAAATGGACGCATCAGTTTCTATGATCAAGATTTAAGAATACTCTATTGGTGTGAACATGAACTTTTGGATGGTATACGATCGATAAGTTTCGATTTTTCATCTTCATTATTGGCTCCTATAAATGAAACTGATTGTAAGCTTATTTATTTTTATTTTAAAAAAATGTTTTAGAAAAAGATTTTAAATTTAAATAAATAAGGGATGAATTCGATAAGTAGGCTCTTTGAATAATTCTTTAGCACGATGATTATCTAATAGTAATGATTGTAGATTTTTTATACAATTGTTATCAATTGTTTGTGAAAAATTTTTTAAAAAATCGTTTAATTTTTAACAACCACAAAATCTCATAATTTTATTAAAGATATAAAACAATAAAGAAAAAATTGAAAATGTGTGAAAAATAAAAAAAAATTAATATAACAATATAAATAATATGAAAAAAAAAAATAAGAGTGGAAGAATTTTATTTTGTAGTTGAATTCGATGATGAGGAGTCCGAAGAAAAAGAAGAAATGGGAGATTTTTATTCGGAAATCACATTAAATGTCCCTACTTGCAATAAGAAAAAAAAAGAATTAACAGAAAATTTAAAATCGAAATATTGTGAAATGATCGATAAAATTCCATCGACATTGACCATGAACTTGGAAATATTACCCAAGAAATATTATGATAAACCTCCAAAAAAACCTATGGTACCTACTGAAGCCACTGTACGAGGTGCTCCTTTCTATTTCAATAATTTCTTTATCAGTAAGTGTTATTCATCACGTTTATTGATCATTCAATAAATTAATATTAATATAATAATATGGATTGATTATATTTTTTTTATTATATTTTATTGAAGATTTTTATTAATGTTTTTTTTAAAAGGTTGTTTGAGTGGAACAGTTGCATTAATAAGAATTCCAACATTCAAGTGTCGGTTTATTTTTCGGTATACAAAAGTTGCGATCTTAAGCTTTGACACACATCCTCGAAGGTATTTATAAGAAATTTAAATAATTCAACGATTCTTCTAATTTTTTTTTCTATTTTTATTTTAATTCACAAAACAAAGAGAGAGAATAATAATTTTTAATTTTTTTTTAAATTTGAATTTTAATTAATTTTAGAAATTAAAAATTTTTTTCTATTATCAATATCATTAAATGTTTTATTAAAAAGATTATAATATATTATATAAAAAAAATAAAGTGATTAAATTTGTTCTTCGTAAATTATAGTTTTTAATCTTCAATAATATTAACATTAATATTGTTTTTTCACAAGTAATTATATAGTCACTGGTGATGCAAATGGTTACATCTGCTTATACGATTATGAGAAACGTAAGATCATACTACGGAAAAAAACTCCACCTTTTCCAGATTTTCGTCCACTGATGGATGAACAAGTAAAAAGTGGACACATAATTTACATCACGTGTCCATTGAGCCACGAAGGACTGATTGGTGTTACAGCATTAAAATATTCCCAAATAGGTATCCAACTGTTATTGTAATACAAATTTTAATATTTTATTTTTTTTTTCTGGATAAACTATTATAATGGATCAATGAAATTATACCAGTTATTCTTTTTCAGTTTCGAGATTTTAATGTAAGATGTCGCTAGTATCCCATTCTCATATAATAAACGAGAAATTTGTAATAAAATATACATAAAATACTTCAATTTAAGTGATATATAATCACATTTGATCTTGAAAATATGAATAAAAATATAAATTTTTATGTTTTATTTTCTTTTTTCTAAGTAAATTATTGTAATGGATCAATGAAATTGTATGTAAATAGATCAATTATCATTTTCGAGTTTAGAGAATTTTTAATCGCAAAAATAGCAAAATAAAAAGTTTCGAAACTTTTTAAATTTCGAGCGAAGTGTCCTATTTTCGTGCAACAAATAAGAGATTTATAACAAAATATATAATTGAAATATTTCGATTGTAGGTGACATACTCGCGTGTGGTCTTGAAAATGGATCGCTTTGGATGTTGCATCCTATCACTTTGGAACCCATTGATAAAAATCCTTACAAACATTCCATGCAGTCAATTCATAAATTGGCTTTCTCAGACTGTGGAGAATATCTGGCTTACGCAGTAAATAAACATATGATAATTGATTATTTATTCATAATCATATTTATCATATAAAATTCTCAAAGTATAATTGTATAATTGTTATAATTTTTTAAATTTTATTATATTTATATATAATAATATATAATTCATAATATATATTAATAATTAATAATATATAATTAACAATTATATATATAATAAATTTTATTATATAATTTATATATTTTATTTATTATAATTTCTAAAATGAAAATGAATAAACATTTTTTTTTTAGGATAACACATTGGTTGTAGCAGTATTTAAGAAGAATCATAAAAGAAGGAACGACGATGATAATATATGGAACTTTATTGGAAAATATCGTTCGCACAACGCAGATATAAAAGACATACTTTTCGGTCCAGCTACCATCGAAAGTATTGTATATCGATTATTTTCAATAGCGGAAGACAAAACTTTAATTGAATACAATCTTAAAAATAGGTAATTTAAAATATTATATTTCTTTTGTAATTAAATCCTAAATATTTCGTCCATTTTGTAGCGGTCCATATCCTCTTCCGGGCTTAAAAATACTTCATGTTTATAAAATCGAAAATGATGCTATACCTTTTTGTCTCGCATGGTACCCACAATTTGGCATTGAAGGATTTCTGACGTATTCTACTTCCGAAGTAATATAATTTTCTATAATCAATTCTAAAACTTTAATCGAAATATTTAAAATATTTTAAAAAATTAATTTTTTTTTTTAATTAATTATCTTTCAATCATGTTCTAATGGATAATTTCTGAGAAATAGCAATTTAATTTGTAATTTATTTTTGTTTTGATCAAATCATTTCCAAATAAATATTTCGTTATTATTGATTAAAATAAATAAAAAAATAATTGTTATATTCATACAAAATTTATTATGTGATATAGTATAAATTTAGATTGCTAAACGATATGACGAAATTGATTCGAGGAACGTTTTTGGGACCCCTTTATAGTTCACCAGTTAAACAGATTAAGGTGATGAATTATGTGAATCTGCAGAAAATTATGAAATCGTGTTTAACTTAAAAATATTTTTTACAGGTATTATCTAGTAAAGACCTCAAAATTCTTAGATACATGGTATTTGCAACTGATAAAGAAATAGGTCTTCAGATACTTCCCTTTGATGGAAATCCTTACAAAATTCTAGGAATGATTGGACATCCGCATAAGGTATATAAGAAAAACATTGTATCGAAAAAATGATTATAATGACATTTCAACAAGTGAAGTAATTTTATCAACGATGAATTTCTAAACTTTATTACACAGTATACTTATATTATTTTATTATAAAATTAGATTAAATTTAAAAATTGCCATCCATAGAAGTCTAATTTTAATAGATCACACATATATGCGTTAATAATGATGGAAACCTTTTGTTCACTTCTGGTTACAATGATCCATCTATATTAATATGGAAGATAAAATACAAGTAAGCCTTAATGAATAATGAAAATTCTATTTATTATTAAATATTTTTTTCCTTATTAATTTCAATTATTCTTGTTCAAAAAATAATATAAAAATAAATTTGCTTTTCTTTGTCACTCATTAATTGATTTCATTATTATATTATTTTTTTTTTTTTTTTAATTATCATTTTAATATTTTATATGTTCTTCTTATATGTATTGTATTTGCAAAAATATTTCATTTACTTTTTTCTTCAATAGATATCTTTATTTATTTTATCCCTTTTAACAATATTTTGTCTCAAGGTCTGTTGATGTGTTATCACATCTAGGAGGCAAAGGTCTCTCACCGTATTACTGTTTGATAGAAGGTGGTAAAAGTGGTTGGCTTATTAAAGAGATGCAAGACCTGTTTTATTACTCTCAAATTTTGCATCAAGGGGAGAATATAACAAGTACCAGAATAATATCCGACAAGGTGAACATCACCGAATTGCCAAACCTTATGCGTTCTATTGGATATTATCCAAGTAACGAGGAGGTAATAATTTTTCATTCCTTTCTTTCATATCCAATCTTAAAAAAATTAGAAAATTTCTATAATCTTTTCGTTCTGATTATTATTCTTTTAACATTTATCAATTGATTTCTTTCAGATAGAAAATTTTATGGGGGAGGTCGCGTATAGAGATTACGCTGAGACCGGCAATTTAATCGACACTATTAATTTTGAAGATTTCGTGAAGCTTTATATAAATCACCGTCCATCTTTTGGAATTTCTAAGCATAACATATTAGAAGCTTTCAAAATATTTTCAAATCAATTGCACGATGAGGATCCATTCTTAACTCGTGATCAATTCATGAGGTTGTTGCTTGGTCATGCTCCTTATACCATTATAAAAAAACATGAGATGCCTTTTGGTTAGTTTATATATTTTTTTCTAGAAAAGATTCAGTGTAACATTCAATATATTATTTCATATGTTTTCTTTTATTATTTTAATTTTTTTTAAAATATATATATATATATATATATATATATATATGTATTTTTTTATTTTTAGGAGAACCATTAACAGTTCAAGAAGCATTTACATATATGAAGTTTCTTATTGGATTTGAAGAAAGTTTTGATGAAATAAATTATAAACATGAACCATCACAGGACCTTGATCTTACATTCTTGCCAGAGGTATATTTATCAGAGATTTTTTTAATGTATAGTTATTATTTGATTATAATATAAATCATATTTATTTAAATGGACTAAAAAAATCATAGATATATATTTTATTACCGATATTTATTTTTTTTAATATACATTACAACTTAAAAAAAGAAAGAGATAGTCTTCTTATATAAAAAGATGATTTTTAATAATTTTTTTTTTTTTTTAAAATGAACAAATATACAAAAGCCAATTGATCATACATAAGCGCATTATGAAATAAGTAAGTATTTACATCTATCTAGAATAGAAAATAAAATTAAAAAATTGATAATATGAAAAAATATATTAAATTATGAATTATACATTTATTTATATTTATTTTGTGAATTGACTCTATCATTAATAACTTTTAAATACAAAATCCGATCAATGTTTAACAATCAGATCAACAAAAAAATTCCTAAATATTTAAATTTTAAATTTGTTTTCAAATAAATATCCTAAAGAGAATGACACATAAAAATATTAAACAAGTATGATCATCAGTCATACTATATACATAGTTTTACAATAGAAGCTCATACAATGAGGGAGATAGATAAATCTTGAATAAATTGCCATTAATGGTACAGAAAAAAGGAAAATAATGATTTAGGCTCGCCGAAAGTAATGTATTATTATTTTACAATACAGATAATATCTTACAAATATTTCATCACGGACATCTTGGGTATTGAATTTCCGGAGGAAACGAGGGCTGACGATGATTAATTAATCTGTATTTTTGCATTGCTGGCACATTAACATTAATTATCATTACCATACTAATATTATTATCATTATAATGTAATGCGAGTTCTATTAAACATGTACGAACACTAACGTATTTATCCATGTTTCTTAAAATGTTGAATGAAAAAAAAAATATCAACGTTTCCAGCGACAGAATTAACTCGATTTTACGAAACTTTGTCCAATATGGTGAATTAAAATTGTAAAAAAATAATTCTTGATTGACCATTCATTTTTCTTATTTCATTCTTGTTTCAAAGATTCAATTTCGCGTGTAGAATAAAATAATTTTGATATAATTAATTAATAAATATGATAGTCGAAACACAAGTTATCAAAATTAATCGGTAAATTTTATCTTTACAAATGAAATTTCTTTTCGCTCGTATTCCATTGCACATTTATATTTCACCGGAATCTCGATAAATTAAAATATTATATCGAAATTGAAAAAAAAGATTAGCGCTCAATATACATATATCGTTAATCGATCTCGATAAAGTGCTACAAGTTGTACAATTATTTCGTATATAAATGTTTGAAAGTGATATTACGACGAATAAGTAAGAACTAGACTAGAGAAACGATAAAATATCAACCGATTCATTGTAACTAAAATGTGAAACATATATATATATATATATAACGAAAAAACGATAGAAATTGGAAAATTTATTTTTTCACTGGTGATCATAAAAAAATTAGAAATTAATGAATTTATAAATGAATACGTTTTATAACGGATGTGTAGTTATAAAAATTTTAGAAAATTCAGGCGATTTAAGAAAAAGAAAAATAAAGGGTAAAACAAAGAAAGAGAACAAAGATGGTGATTTAAATGAGACAATGAAAAAAAATCGCGAAATACTAATACATATTTCGAGATGATTATGAACAGAATAGTGGGTCGTCGAAAAAAAAAAAAAGAAGTGATCGTCTTACAAGAGGCATAGACACCGCCAGCAGTGCCGACAGTCCTATTAGCCGCGACATCACGAAAATGAATTTCGAAAATGATGAAACACAGCCCTCCCCTCACATACTAGGCTTAAAGAATTCTACGACGTAGCCTAGAAAATTTCGCTCTATAATGCTATACTTTGCCTATCGGCTACACTAAATTTATACACCGCGCATGTTTTGTCATTTAAAAGAAGTACAAACAAATGTACACAAAAAACCTTACTTCATTGTTATAAATTCTAAGGCATATTTACAGTTATATACAAACATTTTTTTTGTAATTATTATTATTATTATTATTATTATTATTATTATTATTATTGTTGTGTTGTTGTTGTTGTATCGGCTTAAGAAAAATATCAATGTTAAACAGTATGTATGATTCATTTGTTTACCAAGAAGAAAGAAAGAAAACGCTGAGAATAGCGATGGCTACTCAATTCTCTCCCACTTCTGCTAGAATTTTTTTCTTGTCAATTCGTATTCGAATATATAATCAAAGATTATTGCTATTAAAATTACTCTTAACCGTGCAACAATTTTTGTAAATATTTTGAAAAGCGATAAGCAATTCTAAAAATATAAATATTTGAAAAATAACAATGCCTTTTAAGAGACTTGAAAATTATTTATATGCAATCTGTGATTATTTTTTATATCTAGATATTTACAAAGTCATAGCAAGGATGAAATAATTAATTAATTTATTGAATATTAAAAAAAAATATTTTACTAAAAAAAATTTAGAGAAGATATTTAAGAATTATTTAAATAATTAAGTTATTTAAATCAAATTAATTTAAATCGATAATCATAGATAATATTTTAACGAAATGGTTAATTATAATGATAAAAATGATTGATTAACGAAGTTGAAGTTGACACTTTTAATTTTCTGCAAAGTTCAAATTCATGATAGAAAATAATATATATATATATATATATATATATATTATATATTTTACATATATATGTATATGTATATGTATATATATATGTATATGTATATATATATATATATATAACTGTTTATAATAATAACATGAATGTTAATTTTACAAAACTTTCAATTTTTTGTTTTCTATTAAAATATTATAATAGTCAATTATAATAAGAAAATTTAATCTTATTCTAAGATTTTAATCTGTTCAAAGAAGATTTCTTTTTAATTCATAAATAATGTATTTCATTTACATGATTATTCAATAATTTTTCTTATAAATATTTTTAACTCCAATTAGAAATAACGTAATTGCTATGACTATTTGTTCGCATAGAAAGACATTTAATACAAATTCAATATTTCAATGATGTATCATATATTTCTTATATATTCCTCCATTGCGGGTTAAACTTAAACCCTAATGTTTTTAATTTTAATCTTAAAAAAATTGCAATATTAGAACGTTTCAAGTCTCTAGAATTCGTCAAACTATTAAATAAAAGACCATAAAACAATATTTTACACTTTGAACGATATTCGAAGCGATTCTCGAACATATCCTCGTTAAATTACTTAAAAAAGTTTTAAAAGACTGAGAAATATAGATAGCTAGATAGATAAATAGATAGATGATAGATGAATAGATAGATGCCGAATATATGTATGTAAGAGAGAGAAAATTGAATATCCATTGTCAAGAATGCCTAGACAGAAATTTCAACACGCAGACACGACCCGCTGCTATCAGTCAAAATAGTCCTCGTTTTGCACGATTCCATGTTTCTTCCGACAGTCTGGACAATACCATTTGCCTTTCGGTGGCACCATAATACCGACACATTCGAAATGAAACCATTCGATACGACAGTCCTCGGCATCACAGGCTATCATTTCTGACACTTCGTCATACGGACACTGACAATAACAATACAAATTAACCGGTCGCTCTGGTGCTGGTGGGTTACTTTCCGTCAAATGAGTCTGCATTTGTTGACTGGATTCTACTTCAGAATCGCTAGAATCACTGCTACTATCCGCGGGCTCTTCCGATTCGGTAGGAGAAGCAGTAGTGACTCCTACATTCTCTGGCTGATTTTCCATCGGTCGGTAAGCCATATTCTTCCCGCCAAAAGGCAATCTCGGTGGCAATGTTTTTACGGTCGATACCGGCGTGAAAGAAGGTGTGTCTACTTTTCTCCACTTTACCGTGGGTTGTTTTTCTACTTCGTCGTCGCTAGAATCGCCGTAAAATCGTTTTGGTATTCGTTTCCGTTTCGATGATCGCTTATTTTCTGCTTCTGAACCACTTCCACCCATATTTTGTCCTATTATCCCCGTTTGGGATTCGACACCTGCATTCATAGCATGCACATCATTCGTAGACATATTTGACGTTATATTTGATTGCATCAACGCTGGCGAAGAAGCCGAATAACCCGGATTATTTTGGTAAAAAGCTTTAGGAATGTTTAATTTAATGGATTCGACAGTTGGCGTCACATTACGTTGTTTTGCCTTTTCTCCTTTCTTTCGTTTTTTTGTTTTTACTTTTTTCTTTTGTTGGGATTGATCCTCCTCCGTGGCGGCAGGTATCGTGTCTGGGGAAGGAACCGTAATATCTGTATCTGTCAAACCGTTATTCAACGGCATCGTTGATTCTGTAGAAGCTGGAGCAACTGCAGCAAGAAGCATTAATTGATTTCGTTTTTCCGCGAGTAATTTATTCGCAAGTTGTTGTGGATGTTCATCATAAAAGTCCTCGTCCGTTTCCGTTTCTTCGGTTTCTAAATCAGATTCTCTCAATAAAAGTTGCGGCGGACAAACTGGCTCTGCAGGAACCGATGTCGATCCATTTTTATCTGGAGAAATTTCCTTGTTCTCAAGCTCAGTTTCCGCTCCTTGTGTACCTTCTTTTTCCTTTTTCCGTTTAGATTGTTTTTTCGGTGAACCTTCTGAAGTAGAGCTATCCGAATCAGAACTACTACTAGAACTAGAAGAACTACCGGAAGATGAACTACTACAGCTACAGTTAGTTCCGCAAGAACAGCTGCTCGAATCACTGTCGCTTGATGAATCACTCGATGACGTACTTCCACCTTGTTTCTTTTTCTTCGGACTTTTTGCTTTTTTCTTATTCGGATCATCTTCGTTAGTATTTTGAATTCCGTTACTGTCCAATGGACTTGTTTGCATTTTGTTTAAATAATCTTGGTCCCCGCTTAAGTTTGCTTCTTCTTTGATATTTGCTTTTGACGCTGCATCCTTTTCCTTTTCTTTATCCGACCATACGACACAATAATCGTGATCGGCCAACACTATACTCCTTAGGAACGCTACGTCGGTCTCTGGCTCTTGATCTTTGATTGCAAAATTATTGGTTGATTCTTTCATTTCTAAACTAGCTGCATACGTTTTAAAATTATCCCAGATACCATCCATGATTTCTGCCCCTTGTTTTTTCTCTTCTTCATTTTGTTCAACTTCTACTATACTGTCTGCAACAGGTTCAGAAGTTACGATTTTTGATTGATCTGAAGATATTGCATTTTCTTCGGTTGATTTCAATTTTTCAGTATTGTCAGATTCTTTAGTTTCTTGCTTTTCTTCTTCAGAATCTGTATCACTTTCAGAAGATAAGTTCAATGGTGGTAAATCGTAAACATCAACAACCTTTTTCACAGGTTCTTTAGTTTCTTTTGTTGACTCAGAAACATTTGTATTACCATCATTTATACCTAATTTTTCTTTATCTAATTTTTCTTCATTATTCGCTGGTTGTTGATTCATTGTTTCCGTCAAATTTGTACTAACTGGTGGTGGTTCTTTATGAGCATTTTCATGTTTGGTCAATAATTTTCGAGAAATGAAACGCTCGGAGCATTCGCTACAAGCATACGGATGATCTCCGGAATGTAATCTTTTATGCACTTTCAATGCGACAGCTCGTGAAAAACTAGAACCACATTCTTCACAAACAAAAGCTGTAGGTGGTATACAAAAGTGATAAATATGTGGCCACTTTTTTTGTAAACACTTTTTACATAATACACTTTCTGTTCCGTGCTTCCAAAACAAATGTTTTGTGATATCTGGTTTGTTTCTATATGCAATACCACATCTATAGCATAAATGATGAAGTTTATGTTTCCAAACATGGTTGGAAAGACGCTGCTGATTTCCAGTAGATTCTAAGCAAACATCACATGCATGATGTCTTTTACGTAAATGTACCATTAATCTAAATGCAGATGGAAGATTTGCCATAGGACAAAGACAACATCTGTATCTGACATTAATATTTGGAGAGTATGTACCAGGACATAAATGACAAAGTAATTCACTATAACTATAAAAAGTGGATTTACACATAATACAAATTAAAATTGTCTTTTGATGCATCTTTCTGTTAT